CATACGGACAGACGGACAGGGCCAAATCGACTCAGCTCGTCGCCCTGATCAAGAATATATCTACTTTCTGGGGTCTGCCACGCCTCCTTCTGTCAGTTACATACATTTTAACAAAACCATTATACCCCGATTTCCCATTTTCAAGAGCTAGAAACTACTCTGCGAAGCAAACGGTAGAAAGTTATGGCGGTAAGTGTTGATGCTCATCGAAAATACCCAGATACATTAATCATAATCTAAGCTCATACATAATACAGGAAAACTCTAATGGCTCTTGCCAAGGCTATTCAAACAAATAACAAGCGGACGAGGACGAGAGAAATTTTTAAAATTCCAATTATGCTAATTTGCTTTGGTATTTGGATTATCACAATTGGTTAGTATTGATGACCCAAAACTTCTTAGCTCCTCTTCGATAACGAGGTGCTAATTAAAGAGGAACGTTGCTGCCGAATTCAATTGACAGTTCTGCACACATTGCTCAAATTAGGGCCTTAAATTGATGGTTGATAAACATTATTTTTTTTTGAAAATTGGATGCACGTGGTCTATTGTCGACCACATCTTTAAAGAGCGGTTTGCTTCCATAACAAGTATTTAAATATAAGCAAATTGATATGTAAATGTGAAAATGGAAATGAGATAGATTTATCTACGATATTTGAAGTTCCTATAGCTTTTAATTCAGTTATGCAAAGCTAGTATACGAATTTCCCAAATATGTATTAATAATCAAAATAACGCTCTTGAAAATATATTATTCGCTAGACATATCGAATTTATAAACTCAAGTTGTACTCAATAAAATGTGAATGAATTATTGTTACACCAAGGAATACAGTCATATACGAATTATTTATAGTCATCATATATATCAAATACATCTGTTCATAGCCAAAGTTTAGAATTGAGTGTAATATATGAATGGATAGTTAATGGAAGGGAGATCTACGAGCATCCCACCCTGACGTCTTAAAAGCAATCCATAGACAATGCGTGTGAACCAACAGATGCAATTAATTTATTTTACTTACTTTCAAAAAATACATGAGTAATGAAAACATCACGCAACCCGATGTGTTGATATGGATGTATCATATACTACCTACCCTACCTAAAGAAAAAGAAAAAGGAAATAACTTTGCTGACAATAATTACAAATATGCCTGGTATTTTAATGTTTTAGATACTGTCGTTTGTTAATTCTAGTAGAATGTGCTATAGATATTATTTAATAAAGTATATATATATATATAT